TCTTACAATAGCTTATAATGAAAAAGCATATGAAAAGGAATATATACATGTGTATAAAGATCTATGTATAATTGAATCACTATGCTGTACACCAGAAATTTACACAATATTGTAAACTGATTATACTTCAATTAAAAAAAAAAGGACTTTTTTGAACTGATGAGGAAATCTTACAAAGACCCCTCTTTTTGTTTGGGAAGATTGGTCTCTTTTTCTGAGAGGCTAGCTTCAAGAGGAATATAAATAGAAACAGGGAGGGAAGAAGGGAATTAGTCCTACTAAGATTAGCATTTTTTTTCAATTTTTTTTCTGTGGTAACATACATGTAATGTAAAACTTAACATTTTAATCATTTTTAACTGTACAGTTGAGTGGTATTAAATACATTCATAATGTTGCACTACCATCACCACCACTAGCCTTCTCTGGAACACTTTTCATTTGTAAAACTGCAACTCTGTACTGATTAAACAGTAACTCCTCATTCTCTCCTCCACCCAGCCCCTGGTAATCACCATTCTACTTTCTGTCTCAATGACTTTGACTACTCTAAGTATGCCATATAAGTGGATTCACAGTATTTGTCTTTTTGTGGTTGACTTATTTCACTTAGCACAATGTCCTCAAGATTTATCCCTCCTGTAGCATGTGTCAGAACTTCCTTCTTTTTTGAGGCTGAATTGAATCCCATTGTATGTATTTGCTACATTTTGTTTATCTGTTCATCTGTCAGTGAACAGTCAGGTTGCTTTCACATTTTAGCTATTGTTAATAATACTGCTATGAACATGGGTATAAAAATATCTCTTCAAGATCTATCAGCTTTATGATCAATGAAATGATACCACAGTAAAATCAACCTCACATCACAATGATACTAGCTTCACAATACATCAAAGAAAAAAATAATAAAATGAGTGAGGATGAAATCATCATATACTCATTGAATGTTAAAACCACAAACACACAAGAATTGAATAATCTAATCTAAAAGACATCTTGCTGTTCTGGCATTTCAAGCATCTGAATTCTCTTTTATCCAAATGGCACATGAAAATAATTCATCAGATTCATAAAGCATTTATATATTGCTCTTTAGTATGAGTCACTAGTCAGGGAAAAATAGTTCTGAGGAGCTCTTACCTGGATAAGGTGTGTTGGCATTGTGATCATACAGGCTGAAAGAGAGGCTCGCAGAAGACCACGGAGAACAAAGAGGAACTTTGTAAGACTATGACTGTTGTCACTGTTTTCTGTACAGCAAATGTCATCTCCCCACAGAGGTGAACCAAGACTCTGGATTCCTATTCTTAAAATGTTTTTCTGTTTTTTCTAAAGGAAAGTGAGAGAGAGGAAAAAACCGTCAAGTTTTATTGAAAACAGGATACCTCTCTTACTTTTATCTGCCCATTCTTATTTTTATTCAAAACAGATCAGGGAGATAATGTCAACAGCTGTGGTAAAAAAGCTTTACATAATAAGACAATATAAAGGAAATCTTTTAGATCACAAGAGTATAAAAAAATGGCACAACTGCTTTGTTGTTGTTATTGTTGTTTTTAATTTTAGAAAATTTGAAGAGTATCACTAGCCTCAAGCTTTTTTTGTTTTGTTTTCATAATCTTTTTCATCGTTTTTAAATTTTAACAGTGACTGCTCTAAGAATTATATTTTGAGTCAATTAAAGTAATATATAACAAATCATGGGTAATAAAAAAGAGAATCTAAACTAGAATGCTTACAAACCATTACAAAATTCTGTCTTTCAATGAAGGACAAAGTGCTCGATATTTCTTAGATAAATTCTATCATGTCTGCTGCCTACTATTTTGTTTGAGAAAAGTCTAAAAATGTATGTTTTGGGATTTTACATTTTACACTTGCCTTTATTTTTTTCTTCTTGAAGCTATTTTACAATAATAATTTCTTTTTAAGGAGAATTTATTGACAAAAGGTTAAAGAATGAATAAAACATTGAAATGTTAGAAGAGGAAAACCTAAAGGAACAGTAGCTATTAAGATAGATAAGACAGAGACTCACAGTCTGCTCTGTGCAAGTAAGTAGATTATAATTCTGGGCAAAACACATACATTTCTTAGGCCTTAGTCTACTCATCTCTAAAATAAAAAGTGATTTAGAATAGAACATTGCTCTATGAGATCATATAATTTTCAAATATGTAAAGTGATACAATGGCCTGGAATGAAACTATAAGAATGAGATTAAAAAAAGAAGAATTTGGTCTAAGTACATTTGAGAAAAACTTCCTCACTCCAAGGACCTGAAGCACAATGACACTAACAAGGCAGTTGGTCCAATTTTCTTTGCTGGCTGCATTGAGGTTATAACAGACAACCACCTAAGATACCATATGTTGTGATCCTCTACAGTCTATAAAAATTGTTTTCTTTTTATCCTGCATTACTTGAATAAAATGAAGTACTAAGATGCATCATGGTACATGTTAGAAAATAAGTTTCTAATGAATTCTTGTAAGGTATCTGTGAGAGATCGTAAGTTACTCATTTTTCTCTATTACTTAGAAACTCAGAATTTAAACAAAATGGCAAGACTAAAATTCATTTTGCCATCCCTAAATGTGTTATCTCATGAACTGTAGCTTAAGTTAGATTCCTAACAGAAAGAACAGTCTGGAAAAAAAGAGAGACAAAATTTCCCCCCAAAATCTAGACATCAGAATAAAATCTAATGGTAAAAGAAGAGTAGTGTTATATTGTTTACCTTGTTCACATTTCAGAAAATACAGATCAGCTGTATTTTAACCACAGTCACCACTGTCTACTACTGTGGTATCAAAAAGTGCCTGCTACAAGTTTATAACAAAAATGCTGTTAGGTGCAGACACAGGAGAATCACAGTTTAGTGACTTTGACAGTTACACTGATATACACATTTACAAAGAATGAAAATATTAAGTCAAAGAATGAATAAGTGGTAAGAATTTAAGTGAAGTAGGTGCACAGCACATCAGAACATAATTGAGCATAATACTTCTACACAGGAGATACATTTTCGTATTTTAAAATATGATAGCATTGCAAAAACAAAGACTGAGTCATGCATTTCCTGTATTGTTTGAGGCATATAATCCCTTTGCTGCACTGTATAACCAGGGGGAAGGCATACTATGAGGCATAATAAAATTAAAAAAATTAACTTTTGCTGATAGCTGAACAGTAAATAAATTTATTTCTATGAGATCTAAAATATTTAATCCAGTACTCTAAGTAAAATCGATGTTCAAACTTCATTTATTATATATTTCTTAGATATCTGAGTCAAAAATTAAAAACAAATGAAATTATGACAGAAATTTATAAATGTCTCCTTTCTAAATATCTTTACAGATGAGCTACAATACTTTACTTACTACCAATATTAATTATATGGTAGTATATAATATTCTGTGTCTCATAATCTCTATTTGTTGCCACCAGCTAGTTTAGTTTACTAGAAAATGTAGTGATAGAGAAAGTAAGATGGAAATATCCTTTTAAAAAGGAGGATTTATTTCAGTGTCAGAATATTATTTTGACTCAGGAATACTATTTTTTGAAGTAGCTTGTTAGATGCATTTTTGCGGCTTCTGGAAATCATTTAAAGTTTCTGAGACAGATGTAAAAGCTAGATAATTTAGCCAGTGATATAATCCATAATTTAAGATTATGGAAGTTCATTAACAATATTTCAGTCCCAATAAAATTAGAAATATATATTTACAACAGCTTATTGGTATATTTTAATTAAATTTTTTTTTTAGCCTTCTTGGTATTCATGACAAAAATGCCTATCTCAAACCTGTTTAAACTTAATGAAAGTTAATAGGTATAGAACCTCTGGTTCAGAGACCCAAACCAGCTCCCATTTGTTGTCTGTCAATATTCATGAAATAAAATTTTTCCAGTAAAATTGTTTAATGAAAATGGTGTTGATTCACACTCAAATGAACAACTAAGAAAACAAATCTCTCATTCTATTCCAATAATAGCTTACTTTTCAAGGGTTCTTCGGATGTGTGTGTATATGTGTATGTACATATAGATATACATGTAAGTATGAGTGTATCTCTCTGCTATTGCCTTTGCTTTTCTTGCATTTAGAAAATTTCTCGCTCTTAAAAGATGTGCCATCATCCTGCAAGAGCAGCAGCTCTGCACACTGTACTATAGGAACTGTTATGACATGCCTGTTTCCATAGTTACCAGAGCGAGTAGGGAGAGGTGTCTGTCAGGGACCAATTCACCTCTCCAGACGGGCACTGCCACCAAAGAGAAGACATGGTGCCCATAAATCTTAGCTAGGACCAAAAATGGAGCAACGATGAGCAAAATAAAATTGTATTAAATACCATGGGCCATCACAAAAACTGTAACATGGATGAAAAGCCAGCTGTAAATGAATCTCTGTGCTTTGCCAAACACACATAAGTATTCTCAACCTGCTATTAACCTGTGATCAAAATAAATTTTAAAAGTAGTTATTTTTCCATGGACAAAGTGTTAAATATAGTGACAAAGTTTATAAGAATATTTAAAAATTTATGCTATGAATTAAAAGCAAGTGTAGTTGATAATGCCAAAACCAAGACTTTTGGCTTCTTTGTCTTCTTCAATGAAAACAATGGTGCTCTGGAAATAATTCTGCTAAAATAATATAAAGGAAATACAAATCTTCTAGCAGCTTTAGCAATTAAAATCACCAAGGAAGAACTGTGAAAGGCATGATATCTAGAAATAAAATTTCCCTCATTTTAAGTTAAACTAACCAGAACATTTTAATCCAGAGAAAGTTTTTTAAAAAAGAGTGACAGAGAAATGGTTACTACAAAATATTTTAATATAGCAAATAAAAATGCATCTTTTATTCAATGAGATAATTCAAAGCATAACATAGTAAATAAAATCTTGAAAATAATTCTTACTCATAAGATAATTTAAAATTAAGGCCTGAATGACAGAAATATAAAAAATTTATATAGGAAAGTACAAGTCCTGCAGATTTAATGGTAAGTTTCAAACTGTGGCTATTAATTCTGGGTACTACAAATACATATTTAAAAATAATTAATGTTGATAGTGTACATGAACATCTTATGTGCATCCACTGAGAATTTAGCTAAAATTCCAAATACACAGTTAAACTAAGTCTGCCTTGCTCTCCTTATTTATATCTTCTCTCCTTAGAAACAGCTTGTTCACTGTTGATTATTCTAAGACCTTCTGGGTCTACCTCTAGAGGGTTTGGAAACAACATTACATACATGATTATAAAAAGGCTTTGAAGGTACTCAATACCTGGGGATTGGATCCATCAAATCCTTCCTCATAAATGATGTTCTGGATAAACTGAAGCAGCTTTAGGTAGCCATGGGTCAAAGAACTGTTGATAAGAAGTGGTTTGAATACATAAATGGGCTTATTACACAGGAAATACAAGTTGTAAGCTAAAACATTAAATAAATAATTAAAAGGTATATATTCATGAGATTACTTAAATTTAAGATGAGCCAAACAGTATAAATAATTTTTAAAATAAAAAGTCAATACATCCAGGGAATAACTTGCAATGCCCTATATTAACTAGCTCAATGTTCTTGACATCATGGGAAGATAAAAATCTGTGGAGACTGAGATGACTTAATTATGTCAGGCTTAGTTACCTCCAAGAAAATTAATGATTTAAGGAAACAACCTAAAAGATGAAGCCACCATAGCTTTTCAGGACTAATCATAGATAATTAACGCACAGTTAATAAATTGCTGTGCCAAGTACACCTGAATCAATGTCCTGATCACCTGAGCTCATCTTCCATCAAAGTTTTAATTTTCTCAGAATGAATCGCTAAAATAATAGTAATTCAAAAACTCAAAAACATGATGTTTTAAGACAAATGAAGAGAAGTGAGTATGAGCTCCACTTTTGTCTGTAAAAAAGACAAGAAAACAAATACATGAATTAAAGAAGATAAACTTATTTCCCACATGACTATAAGCATTAATATTACTATTTTAAATTATTTTATAAACACTGTGAAACATCTCAGCAAAAATTTAGTAAGAGTGAAGAAAATCATTAACTGAGTTTAAGATTCTTCATAATGGACAATCTGTGTGCTATGTCTGAACATTAAATGCCATGATGATGAAATTCTGGAGTACAGCAATTTCATAGACACTGAAGTGCCTAATACTGCAAAAAGCTGTGAATGACCTTAAAAATAGAAAAGTATTTGGTTTACTGTGACCCTAAGTAAAGGGATCATATACGCAGAAGAAGTGTCTGTCCTAAGGAAAGAAGGAAATATAACTTGAAGCATTCATATAACATCAAAGGATACAAGAAGTTAGGAAGTGCAGCAAACTGCTTAAATCAATGCATGCAAAATCAATGGTAAGTGGTTCAGAAAAAATACATGCACATCTCTGTAAACATCTTATTGAACAGTCTCACTTAGCCCAAAAGCACCTCTCTATCAAAAACAAAAAAGAAAACCAAGAGAAAAGAATGTGTTCTGTGCAAAACAGGTATTGCTCCAATTGAAGGATCTGGTATTACAGTTATTTCTCACATGCTTATTTCTCCATTTTCAATGAAAACACAATGAATTACACAGACCCATTTTTCTACTTTCCTGAGTAAGGAAATGTGTCTATAAATAATTATATTCCATAAGGACAAAGATGTGACTATTGTATCTTACCACGTATTTGTCCTGGCTAGCTCAACTTTCAGAATACAGAGTTGCTGTTTGAACACAGCAGATTCAATTTCTATTTAAGTCAATTAGCTTTGCACAGGAGCTAAAATCTGCTCCAAGGTCCCAGATTATGAAATGAATTCCAGCCAACCATTTGACGAATGTCCCTATGGGTCAAAAACATATCCACTGCATCTTAATCCACCAATAATGAATCTACCTAAGACCATTATTATCTCATATATGCAAAAAGTTTCTCAAGCATTTTCCCTCTGCACAAAATTGTTCAATAACAAAATCTGCATTAAGTACTTGGTAGTAAATCCGTTTTCTAGAAGCACATTACTAAATATCACATACATAAATTACTTCTTAATTTTTTAGTTGCCACCATTTAACCAACCAACATGACCCGTTATTTATTTCAACTTCTCACAGCCTAAGGTAACTATAGTAGATCTAAGACTCTCTTCAAAGGTTTGGGGTGGCGGAGGGGGGAGGGTTCTTTTGAATTGTAAAAACAAAAGCCAAATACATTTTAGTCTCTTTCCTTATTTCACATTGACATAAACAATCCAATCACTAACAGTGATTAGAACTTTATAACAAAATAAATTTCTCCAAACTAGTTAGATTTCTAGGGAAGTAAGTATTTTGATGACAAAATAAATGGGAAAAATCAATACACTTAGGTATATTAATTGAGAATATTCATTTTTTGATACACGGAATTAGAACTTTAAAAACTGAACTAATTTATATGGTATTAATATTAAAATACTAAGTATTGTTAATTTCTATGAGATACATTTCCTTGTCAGCAATATTTATAGTTGTTTTTTTTGCTGAAAATAAATATCTTATCACCTAAAAATTTTAAAATTAACTCCCTTTAATTTTGAGGATGTTGTCTTTTGTTTGTTCAGCAGTCTAGTAACTTATAAACAGGAGTTGTCAAGAAGGAAACCCAGTTACAAATATGACCTGGCTTCCTCATTAATGTTTCCAAACATTTAACAAAGGTTAGGTTATCATAGTGCTTACAACATATCCCAAAGGCAGCGTATTTCAAATCATGTATACTATTTTTGTTGGTTTTCTTAATTTTCAACAACTTTTATAGTAAAATGATCTTGAGATTCTACAAAGTACTTAAAACTATAACAGTACAAAGAATATAAAAATGATTATTAGAACTTAAATTTTTACCGTTAAAATACGAAGCATTTAAAATTTTCTTTGGTTAAAAAAATTGAATTGTCCAAGGACATTATTCATGTGTCTGCTATTATGTTACACGTTGTTTGAAAGGAATTAATTTCTTTATATTAATATACATATATGAATAAAAGGGGCCCAGTCACCCAATATAAATCTATACTCTGATGATCAAGTTTAACATTTTTTAAAAAGTTGATAGAAAAAAATCCCCAAGACTTTCATGCCTATAAATATCCCTCCTCCCCCGATTTTCAGTAAGACGTCAATAGATACTTGCATCAGAGAACATTAATTTATATCAACAAGTGGCACTGGTTTTCCTGTGAAAGGTAATTTTGTATTCAATCTCATTAAGAAATATTTTAAAAATTACTGTAAGAAAAAGAATTAGATGTAGTATATCTAGAAAAGAAATCAAGTCGATAATAAAAGATAATTATTTTGCAGTTTCTCAAACAACGAACCAAGGAATAACTATAAAAGTCTTAAAGTGATCAAAGAATAAATGTAACAACAACAACAAAAAAGCTTAGGTAACAGGAGACAAGATCTTATTTGTGAAAAAAAATTACAGAAATAAAATCAGTGTATGTAAAGTTAACTAGTTGATAAGTAAAAAGTTTACTCATAGATAATAAGCTCTTGAGTTTGCTTCTAACAAAACTACTTAATTTTAATTATATCAATTGGTAAAGTGGCACATAATAAATACTCAAAACCGTTTGCATCGCTGTCATAACATTTGATCTAAATTACGATAACTTTGCCAGGTAAGTATAGTCATTCTCTCCATGTTACGGTTGGGAAAATTAAGAACCATTAGAGGCTAAGTGATTTGCCTATGGCTGTACAACAATTAAGCGACAGAGTGGCACCTAAAATTCAAGTTTTCTAAAACTTCAAGTTACCTCTTTTTTGGTTAAACTTTAAGCCTCAAAGTGAGATCTATACTCAATGAAAAGTCTGTGAGTTCAGATACCTTAATGTGGTTCAGATGAGATTTGAACATGGCTCCATTCAATATAGTCAGAGTATTCAGATGTATAGTTTTAGGAAGGTATTTTTCTTTCAGTTGCACTGGTGAGAACTTCACCTATAGGCCTCACTTGCAATAACTTGATACATGATTTATAAAAAAAATTCAATATTGAAAAGCATAGACTTCTAAATAAACCAATTAGATACCAGTATAGCAGAGTGGAAAGTATGCTCAAGATCTGGGTTCTTGTTCTATTTGTACCAACAACTGTAGCAAAATGTGTGATTTGAGGCAAATTCTTTAATTTTTCTGTTCTGGGCTTCAAAATTTTCTCATCTGTAAACTGAAGGAGCTGCACTAGCTGTACTAGACCTCTGATGTCCATTCTGACTTAAAATTATATGAGTCAAGAATGATTTTTCTTGTATAACTGGGACATTGTGCTGTAACTGACACACGGCAACTAACTGTACTTCAATTAAAAAATGATTTTTTTTTTAAGAATGATGTTTCTCATTAAAATGATTCACTGCTAGGTCTTTAAAAATAAGAACTTTTGGTGCATTTAAGTATTGATTTAACTACTTGTTTGGAAGAGAAACTGTTTTCACTACCAATCAGGATTAATTTAAACTAAAGATGAAGCACTTTTGACATTATGCAAATCACTGAGAAAATACGATTTGTATCATCAAAAATCTATTTACACATATATCTGAGATATTCATCTATGACAAAGAGTGAGATATACTCATAAGGCAGTAGGCACAATATTAAATGTCTCAACTAACTGTATAAAATAGTTTGCTAAGCTAAAGTTATATTAGCATATAATTTGCATGTGACTATAAAGACTGTGAAGTCGATTCACAAGTAATTTTCCAGTTAAAAATCACATTATTATTACCCTGAAGGATGTCATCTATTGATTTTTCTTTTCTGATGCTTTTTGCCTAACAGCATTGAGTTTGATTCTCTTCACCATGGACACTCAACTAAGAGAAGAACATATAGGGATTATGACTATATTAGGGGCACCATGGAGGGCTATGACCAGCACAAATCTCTGGACCACAGCTGGGAAAGCACTAAGAACATGAGGATGCAAGAATTGCATGTATCCACGAAACAATCTGACAGTAACCCTGTTGAGAGAGGTTATGATCTTTGATGAAAAATAATTCAATTCAATGTTATTCTGACTTCCTTTAATTACTGATGTGAATAAGTCATTAGATTATGTCTCCTACTACCATATTATTGCTGTCACCTATCCAACTCTGGGTCATTACTGGTCTTTCAAACATCTTGGCCTTTCAATTCTTAACATCATCTCTTCCAACGATCTTGTCTCCATCCTACCTACAAGTGCTCACTCCTATGGTCATATCTTAGACCTTGTCATGATCAATAACCACTATCCTTGTACAATCTCAATTCATACACTTGCCTCCCCACAACCACCACTTTCTACCTTTTTAC